ATTTACCTCAAGTAGATACACTCCTTGGAGAGAACACATGGGAGAAAGAAGGGCTGCTTATGCACAGGGAGACAGCTCAGGGGGCAGGAGTACATGGAAGGATGGACACTGGGAAGAGGTAACTATGGGGAAGAAGTGGGAGGGGAGCTGTTGCATTGTGGTAAACTGTGGTCAATGACATGAGACAAAGTATATATAAACTGCTGTATGGAAAGGGAATTTGCTCTGTAAATCTTCACACAAATCACAATAAAAAAAAAAATCATTCAAGAATTACTTCTTGGCCACCTATAGAGAATACGACCTTGTCTTGTTATTTAATCAGAAGACACATTTTAGAATTCATTTAAGAAAAAAAAAAAAAAAATCAAATGTAAAAATCAGAATGAATTCACAGAAATTTTACAAAAGATGTAACTTCAAAAGTAACACTGAGAAATTATTTTGAAATTGTATTATTACTGTAATAATGGCTAGAAAGTGAGTACCTAGCCAAAAAGTATAAGTGACCAATGTCTAACTGCAAAATAGCCTGCTCGCAACCCTTCAGATTCAGTGACTGGACAATCCTTTTATCCTTAGCACTCTGTCTCACTCACAAATAAGTTGATAAATGGGCACAAGATTTCTGTTTTATGAATTTCAACAGTTCCAAGAAGACTGGTTTTCTATTTCTCTTCCTTTAATAATGGCTTTGCCTTAGAGGCTTCCTTACCCGATTAAGTTTGATGTATTCCTGTTCATAAATTTCAGCTAGGCTCAATTTACTCTTCTCGTGGTCCAGTGTTAAACGCTTTTTATATTCATATGCATCTTCCTTGGGTTTTTCTTTACGTACTACATCATCCCAAGCCTGAAATATAAAACGTGGGTAGAACATAAAATCTGCAATTTATTTCTAGAGTGACCTAACAATTTTCCTCTCAGTATTTATTATCATTCCAGAGTAAATAGATTATAAGCAAAAACAAAGTTAATTTTTAACCTGTCCAACTACTGAAGTCATAATGTATAAATATTATGAAAAGCAAAGAAAGTACAAAATTTGTTTTTAATGTATCTTTCTCCCTGATTATCACCTTTCATTATATATTTCTCTACCATTGTTTATTTAAAAATCAAGCCTAGAGCTTGTCTTATTTCAAATTTTAAGCTATGCTCCATATGTACCCATTCTTCAAACACTTTTAGACATAGAAGTGTAAGCAAAGTTTACACATATTATGAAACCATGTTGCTTTGTACATGTCGTGTATGTAAGTTTCATTTTAAGTTTATAAAATAAAATCAGTTCTTAAAGAAAACTCTTCATAGGGTTTAACATTTGAAAAAGTACACACCTCATCTGTCAGAGCAAATACTGTGCCTAAACTATGGGTCCCATGGTTTAGGGACAACGTCAAGTCCAACACCAGCCACCACATCAGCACCAAAAGTCATAAAATCTAAGAGGAGACTTGCAATGATTCTGGCCACACAATTCTCCTCAACCACAACTCTGTGGCACTAGTGAAGAGCAAAGCCTCACAACAAGTAGAGAATACCTTTCATCTAGACTTCAGGTTTTTAAATGAAGAAGTGATACAAACAAAACTTTCATGAAAATGAAACTTTCTACTCCCAATATAATTATTTCAAAAGATTTCAGTGCATTTTAAATGAAATCAAAACCAAACTCACTGCCATAGAGTCAATTCTAACTCATAGCTACCCTATGGGGCAAAGCAGAACTGCCCCAAAGGGTTTCCATTAATCTTAATGGAAGTAGACTGCCTCATCTTTCTCCTGCAAAGCAGTTGGTAGGTTTACACTGCTGACCTTTTGGTAAGCAGCTGAATGCTTTAATCACTGTTATCACCAGAGCTCCTCCATTTTAAATTAAGTTAAATTTAATTCTTTCTGACCTGATCTCTTATCCTCTGCTTAATAATATCTTCTAGTTGAAGGGTGGTTTCTTCTGTGATCACAGGTGCTAAAAAAATAACATGGAATACATAGGCAGATACATAAATGAGAACCAAATAAAACCAAACCCATTGCCATAGAGTCAATTGTGACTCTTCGACCCTAGAGGTCAGAGTAGAACTGCCCGACTGCGGTTTCCAAAGCTGTAAATCTTTATGGAAGCAAACTGCCTCATTTTTCTCCCGTGGAGGGACTGGTAGGTTTGAACTATGAACCTTTTGGTTAGCAGACTTGAATGCTTCAACCACTAGGCCACCAGAGCATCTATAAATGAGAACAGTGGCTCTCAAAGAGTGGTCCTAGTACCAGTAGCATCAGTAACATCTGCGAACTAGTTAGAACCGCAAATTATTGCAGTTCTATCCAAGATCTACTGAATCAGAAAGTGGGGAGAAAGAGACAGCAATCTGTGTTTTAACAAGCTGTACTGATGACCACTCAAGTTTGAGAACCACAAACTAGAGTATACAGTTGGCTTTGTAGCCACAGGTTCTGCATCTGCAGATTCAACCAACCTTGGATCAAAAATACAGTAGAGGTGGAAGCAACTAAGTTATCTTACCAACCCCTCAAAGGCAAGTATAAAGCGCTATTTACACAACATTCATGTTGTATTAGGTATTATAATCTAGAGATGATTTCAAGTACACAGGAAGATGTGCATAGATTATATGCAAATATCATGTCATTTTACATAAGGGACTTCAGCAACCACTCTCGGAAGGAAGGTTGGGCAATCTACTTCCATAGTAATACTGCCTCGGAAACCCAAGGAGGGGTCACTATGAGTCGGGTCTGACTCGATGGCACATAACAACAACAACAACATCCAGAGAGAGTCCTGAAACCAATCCCCTACACATACTGAGAGACAACTGCATATGGAAATAAATGCTAAAAGCTTTAACCCAGGCAGCTGGTGACCCTCTCCCTTTTTTTTCATTCTCTCCTCCACTGAAATAAAATGGAAACTCATTTTGACTTAAAGGGTACAAGAAAGAAGAACTCAATTTGATGAGCAGGGTTTCTAACTGAAGTTCAAAATGTAATCAGTGGACACGGACAGCAGGTAAGCCTTATAAATAAATTAATTATGAACTACACACTAGCCATCAGTACCATACAGAAGTTAAATATTTTGGGTGTATTAGTAGTATTTGGTTCTACGTAAGAATGTCCTAATGCTTAGAAAATACATGTGAAAGTTAAACACACGCACATAAGGGAGAGAAAACAAATGTGGCAAAATCTTAACACTTAGTTAATCTAGTTGAAGGGATACAGATGTTCAATGTACGATTTCTCAATTTTCTATATGTGTGCAAGCTCTTCAAATAAAAAGTTTGAGGAAAAGGAACACCATTTCAAACCTTTCTAGGATATGAAAAAATATAGAAACAAACACTTGGAGAAGTTCAATGGGCACACGTACCCATCCGGACTGCATGGTCAAAGTGCAGGGTCTCCTCCAGGAGGCTGTTTTCTGGTCTCTTTTGAGCAGTCACTTCCCCCTGAAGTTGCCACGGTTTTTTTTCCAACAATTCTTTTTCTAAAGATGCTATCTTTTCATTTATCTAAGAGAAAGAGTTATGATACACTTAGGAAAACAAAATTAGTCTTAAACTTGTGTAAAAGCAGTATTTTAAAAAGTGGAAAAGGAAAATTTTTTTTATCAGGTTTGGAAGATGTGTTTGAGATGGTGCGAATTAAAATTCAGGTGGTGTGGCACTCACCAAAGTCACAAAGAGACAGGCAGTATGAAACAGACATAAGGAAAGGCTTACAGGACAGATCATCAAGGGAGACATGCCACAGGTATTGGGACCCAGAGATAAAGAGACATGGCTTTTAAACATGGCATCCAAACTGAAAGCCATAGGCTGGGAAAGACAGGCATTGACTTTTGCAAATTAGCTGCTTTTCACATGGCCATCCCTATACAGCCTGCTTTTAAAAATAAAAGATTTTTTTAACTGTTTATTACTTTTCTTTAAATTGTGATTTGGGTGAACATACATAGCAAATTCATTTTCCATACAACAGTTCATGCACATTTTGTTTCATGACATTGATTGCAATCCCCACAATTTAACAGCTCTCTTCTCACTTCTACCCTGTGGCTGCCTTTTCCCTGTGTCCTTCTTTCCTATGCATGCCTGCCCTTTGAGCTATCTCTTTGTGCAAATACTACCCTTCTGATCTTCCATAATTGATTGTTCGAAAGACTGTACCTACCTGGTATAAATGTTCACCTTGTATGCCTGTCTAGTGTTTGGCTGGAAGCCACAGGAGTGAGTTCAATTGCAAACCCAAAGGGTGACTAGGGGCCATGTCTCATGGGTTTCATCAGTAAGCCTGCTCTTTTTTATGATTTTGAGTTTTGTTCCACATTTTTCTCCCACTCCATCCAGGATCTATAGTTTGATCCCTTTCTGAGTGGTTGATAACAGTAGCCTGGCACCATCTAGTTCTTCTGGCTAATTATTGAACTTTTAAAAAAGGATGGTTAACAGTTCCACTAAGAAAAAGTACAGTTAGTAGTCTATGAATCTTAATCCACAGCCATGTTAAATATATAAAAAATTCTTTAAATTCCTAATAGTTACCTTTTCCTGTCTTTTTTCAAAAGATGATTTAACTTCATCAGAATTTTGCTTTACATTTAGCTTTGTGTCTTCAGTTTCTTTATCATCTGGCAAAGCAAAGGTTACTTTTTTCAAACCTTCTTTACGATGTTGACTGTCTTCACCTTCTTCAAGTTCATTATATTCATCCCTGTAACATCAAAGAAACTTATGAAAGGAAAACTAAACTCACTGCCATGGAATCAGATGTGACTCAAAGCAACCCCTCCTTGGGTTTCTGAGGCAATACCACTACGGAAGTAGATTGCCCAACCTTCCTTCTGAGGAAGTGGCTAGTGGGTCTGAACTGCCAGCCCTCTGGTTAGCAGTCAAATGCCTTAGGCACTGCACCACCAGAGCTCCCTATGAAAAGAAATACATTACTTTTCTTTAAACTAAAAACCAAATTCACTGCTGTGAAGTTGGATCTGACTCATAACGAGCCCTCCATGGGTTTCTGAGGTGGTATCACTACGGAAGTAGGTTGCCCAATCTTCCTTCTGAGGACTGGCTGGTGGATTTGAACCGCCAGCCCTCTGGTTAGCAGTCAAATGTCTTAGGTACTATGTCACCAGAGCTCACAATAAAAATAAAACAAATTTTCCAGTAATAAAAGTTGTTTTGCATACTTAATGCAACTAAACATTTAACAATTTCAGATATTCCAACATTATTTAGTTAATTCAGATTTTATTCTAGCCATCTTGACACTATTCCATCTTAAAAAATCTCACTTCTTAAGACAAATGTATTTGACAGCTACGAGTGTACCTACATGGTTGGACTGCTCCAGCTAACAGTATAAAGGATGATTCATAGTACTCACATTTCAAAAATGCTTTCTTCTTCTTCTTCAGTAATTTCTTCTTCGTTTGAACCAAGCTCATCATGATTATTTGCCATGTCTTCATCACTTTCAACAGGATCAAAGAAATCTTTGTATTTCAGGTTTCTAGAACTTTTGCCTAACTAAAATTAAAAAAGGATTATAAAACTTTTAATACAAGGACAGGAAAACACATAAAAACGTGTTGAATGTTTTAAATACATACAACAGAGTGTATTTACATTGCTCTAATTTAATACTGTTGTTGTTATGTGCTGTTGAGTCTGACCCAACTCATAGCGACCCCTCCTTGGGTTTCCGAGGCAGTTATCACTATGGAAGTAGATTGTCCCATCTTCCTTCTGAAGAGTGGCTGGTGGGTTTGAACTGCCAGCCTTCTGATTAGCAGTCAAGTGCCATAGTCACTACACTACCAGAGCTCCCATTACTAACCAAAAATAGTTAATAAGGAAAACTGGTAACTATTAACACTATTATAAAACTGTAAGAACCAGAATAAAACAAACTAAATGGGGCATAGATTCATGCATAGTTAATAAGATAGAGAAGATTCCATCTCTAAATCTCTTAACTAAAAATATTTCTGAAATGTTGTTGTTGTTGTTATGTGCCGTCGAGTTGGACCCAACTCATAGCGACCCCTTCTTGGGTTTCTGAGGCAGTATCATTATGGAAGTAGACTGCCCCATCTTCCTTCCGAGGAGTGGCTGGTAGGTTTGAACAGCCAGCCTTCCAGTTAGCAATCAAGTGCCTTAGGCACTATGCTACCAGAGTTCCCATGTCTGAAACAGCCCTGTCCAAATTAAAGCATACAAATGTCTTCCTTTGCTTGATCAAAAGATGTTTCAGGGGAAATTCTGAGTCTTTCTCACGTGTGGTTCTGGCTCTTAAGCTACATAACAAGAGTGCTTTGTGTTAAGAAAGTAATACCTTCAGTTTAATTTTCCCAGACAATTTTTTTCAGCTGGCCTAAATATTTCATTTATGTTTGGGTGAATTTTTACATACTTTAAAACTATCCTAGAGAGATTCATTCCAAGATGGCAGAATAGACAGAAAGACTGCACAGACCCTCTTCAACAAAGAAAAGGGGAAGCAATTAGCACAGACACAGAAGATAATTCTGGACCCCTGAGCCTTGAAGGGAAGGATATAGAAGCGGATTAAACCCCAACTAGCAGAAGAATTTGCACAAAAATACCAAAAAAGGAGACATACGGAGCTGTGGTCTGGCAGTGATCCTAACGGCACAAACAGCTTGGAGATTCCCGAGTGGTGGCAGGACCTAAGAATTAACCTAAAAATCAGCCTTGCTAGCCAGAGACTGCACGGAGGACTGCTCTGGTGGCTGTGGAATAAAAGGGGAAACAGCAGTGAAGGGGAAGACAGGCTGAGCTGTGGACTTTTGCCAGTCTGGAGGGTGGGTGCCGCCTTTTTCAATGATTACAAGTGCCTTGACCATTTTAGATATTTAAAGAGACAACCCTCCACCAGATTCCAGGGGCTTAAGAACAGGTTCTGTTTGTCAGTAATACCAAGGGCACTCCAGACCTGCACCCACTGAAAAAGCGCGACATTCCTCTTGCTACTTTTATACCCCACACCCCTTGGTGAATGGAGGTGTGGCCATCCCCCACTCCCACTCACCTTCTGGGCCCACAGGAACTCCATGCCAGTCTATGTGCTTGGACGGAGCCTGTGTGCCCTGCCCTGTCTTCCACTGATTTTTTTCTTTTTCTCCTCTTTCTTTTCTCTGGTGTTTAGTTTGCTTATATTTGTCTGTTTTAAAACTGCTATTATTAATAATGGGAGCTCTGATAGCATATTGACTAAGGCACTTGACTGCTAACCAGAAGGCTGGCGGTTCAAACCCACCAGCCACTCCTCGGAAGGAAGATGAGGCAATCTACTTCCGTAGTGATACTGCCTTGGAAACCCAAGGAGGGGTCGCTATGATTCGGGTCCGACTTGATGGCATATAACAACAACAACATTATTAATAATACTTTTGTCCTTTTTATTATTATTCTTTATTCTTCCCCTCCCAGGTCCTAGTTTATAGCTTTTTTCTTTTTGCCGTTCCTGGTTAAAAATTTTTTATTTTTTAATTAATTTCTTTTTTCCCTCCTTTTTTCTTGTGGTTAACACCTTTCCTTGTTTTTCTTTTTCCATTTTTCCCATTTTTTTCTTCCTTAGTCTCCTTCTCTACCTTCTTTAAGTGCTCTCTCCCCAAATATTGTAGGATTTCTTGTTGTTTTTCTTCTTTTTTCTCCCCTTTTTTCGGTTACTGTTCTTGTGTGATTACATGGTGTATTTTTTGCCCATGTGCTTTTAGTTTTTTGATGGTTGTTCAATTGTAATTTGTGTCTAACTGAGTGGGAGATACAACAATCCCCCTAAAATAAAACTACACCTACACCACTGCAACGTCACTTACTGAGCGAGAGCCACCACCTCCTTCTCCACCAAGGGGCCAACAATGAAAAACTACCAAGAAGAGCCTGAATCACCTTTGGCTGCTCTTCACAAAGTTAACAGAGATCTAAATACAATACCATGATGTCTCGGAGACAAAAGACCATCACAGTCCACACAAAGAAGCAAGATAAAATGGAAGAAACAAGGGAACAGGATACAGACCCAGAACACATCCCCGAAGAAGAAGCAGCATTGGAACTCTCTGATAAGGAATTCAAAAGAATTATATTTAGGTATCTTCAAAGGATTGAGAGACAGACCAAAGAAAACACAGAAAAAA